TGTATTCAGGCACGTGCTTTCTTGGAATTTTACATAAATATTTAATGGCATACTAATTACTCATATAGCTTCAAGGAAGATTTCTCTCTAAACATTAAATCGGTCTCTTGTCTGCAAGATCGTGCTTGTGATGTAAAGTGACCCGGAATTCACAGCCTGGCTTTGTTGTACCTAAAACCTGCTCAGTGCCAACATCCCCTGATTTAAGTTGCATAAGTGTAGATCTGTTTGTAAAACTTGGGTCTGTAGCAAAAAGAATAGTGAAGCTGAAACTGGGGGTGATACATTTAATTATGATGGGCTGGCTAGTAATTGTTTCTGGAGCACCACAGATAGAAGACTGTAATGCATTTCAAAGCTGATTTATCTAAATTATTTCAGTACAAGAACAAAATAATTTGTATTTCAACTGTGAATTTATTTTTCCCATCTCTGCTAGTGTTATATGGGCAGGCACAAGAAGTAATCCAGGCACTAACCGAAGCAACTGTGATACTGTTTACAAAAAATTCTAGTTGGACCCTGCATTGACCTAAAATCAGAGCATGCTGTAGCAGAAGTTCTCACAGAATGGTAGAGGTGAGAAGGCACCTCTGAGATGGTCCAGTCCAGCCCTTCTGCTAGAGCCTTAGAGCAACCTAGAGCTGGTTGACCAGGATTGTATCCAGTTGGGTTTTGAGTATCTCCAAGGATGGAGAACCCCCAGCCTCTCTGGACAGCTTGTTCCAGTATTTGATCACCCTCAGAGTGAAGAAATTTTTTCTTATGTTTAAATTGAATTTGTTGTGCTTGCTGCCTCTTGCCCTTTGACTGGGGACCACTGAAAAGAGCCTGTTCCCGTCTTCTTTGCACCCTTCCTTCAGGTATGTGTAAGTTTCCCCTGATGCTTCTCTTCTTCTGAGAGGTTCTCAGCCTTTCCTCATATGTGAGGTGCTCCAGTCCCTCTGTCATTTTCCTGGCCCTTTGTTGGACTCTTTCCAGTATGTCCATGTCTCTCTTGCACTGTGGAGCCCTGAATTGGACTCAGAGCTCCAGATGTGCCTTGTCAGTGCTGAGAAGGAAGATCATCGCCCTCAAACTGCTGGCAATGCTCTTTCCAATGCAGCCCAGGAGGCTGTTGGCCTTCCTTGCTGTAACGGTGCGTTGCTCACTTGTCCTCAACTTGGTGTCCGCTAGGACCCTCAATTCCTTTTCTGCCACACTGCTTTCTGGACAGTTCGCTGCCAGCATGTTCTGGGGCATGGGGCTGTTCCTCTCCAGGGGCAGGACTCTGCACTTCTTTTTGAACCTTGACAGTAAGCTTGAAAAGGAGTTGGTAATGGGTAACGTTTATGGCACCCATGCAGTTCTTAGTGGTCAGTGAGAAGAGTTGGTTATCAGGTATTTTGTATGTCAAATATTTGTATAAAATTTTGTGCTTTCTCAGAATATGTAAATGGCTTATATGTAAACATTTTCATAGAAGATAGGATGATGGTCAGAATTTAAACTGCTTGGGTTATATAGTCCCTCTGAGCAATGCATTAGGAGTTATTCCACCCTTGCACTAATTGACTGCAAAGTCATTGTGGTGCTCCATAGCAAAGTCATTAATTCTACCAAGATATTTCATCTCCATTTGGATATCTGTCTGTCTCAAGTACTCTGCACTACCCTACCAACCAGCGTCCTTTAATTCTTTTATGAAATTAAGCTTTTGTTAGAAATGGGAGGCTTACCTCTGAGCTGATTCTAAAACTGATGCTTCAGAATAAATGTGCAATAAAGGGGGGTTTTTTGTTTCTCCAGGAAACTTTAAATTAGAAATCCCTAGGCATTCTCTCTTGCAATTAAGATCTATCCAGCTGTCGCTAATACGGTCTGAAATGCTCAGGTTATTTAGCTGGTTTTTATCTGTCTTGATGAAATTGGAATATCGTGTTCATTTAAGAGCTGATCCTGAGCAGTGGAGCAAAAGTCAGTTCCTTTTGATTTGTCTGGACTTTATACAGCTTAGTAACACGTTGCTGTAGAAATTCAAAAGGCTTTGTTGTTTTCAAAGGAGGGCAGAATATAGTGTGGTGTGTTGGTGCTATCCAGCCCTCTCTGCTGCAGACAGTGGTGATGTGAGCTTGCTCAGCATGCACTGGGAGAGAGCCTCAGCTGCAAATTAGAGAGAATACCTGGGGATTAAATGTTGGTGCTTGCTCTGTCCTCAGCTCTCTCTGCAGGTTAAAAAGACGCATGTACTTAATGATTTGGCTTTCTGTGATCAGTACCCTGATCTACAAAGGACTAGCTTGCTTCACAGGGCTGTTGAACATGAAAAGGGAGCAGTATGCTGCACAACGTGCTTTGCTTAGGTCCTGCACCGTGACCCCTCAGGAGAAATGGTGAAGAGCTGATAGGCCAAGGGAGGCTGCCCTAGAAAAGCTGAGCAGCTTCTCCGGTGCTTGCTGCCTGGAGGAATTCCAGTGCCACCTTCAAGAAGAAGAAGGGTAGTTGGTAGAGGAGGAGAGCTGCATTGACCAGCCAAGGCTTCCCATCTGAAGGTTCATAGCTTGTTTTAGAGCATTTAATTTTCAGTTGATATCCTGAACTGCATCTTGCTGGTGTAGAATACAGTAAGAAATAAATGTTGATACCTCAGTTTAGTATATATGCATTATTTTAAATGTTATATAGGTAACTGTTGCAGTCACATGTGATACAAGGGTTCATTAAATAACTTCAGGCCTAGCTAGAGTGCTATAGTCAAAGTGATTATTTCATGTGTGTGTTTACCTTGCATATTTTGACACTAGTTTTCTGTTTATCTGCTAATCCAAATGACAATTATTTTCCTGGCTTTGAGAGCATCTTAACAATCCTGCTCTTAAGGAAATTATTTTCAGTTAGTCAAAATATGGACTGAACTTGGAAAGTGTGTGATGAAGGCAGGGTGCTAAAGTTCATGAAATTGCCTAAGGAAAGAAACAGCAGCAAAAGATCTTGGCATTTTTAATGTTTGTCCACAAATTATTTATTCTTTGCTGATCTAAGTATGGTGTGAAAAGAACTTTCATTTCAGGCATTTACACAACATTGAATTTTCCTAACTTAGCAAGTCTATGTACTGTATCTGAAATCTGCTAGAGTGGGTTTGTGTACATAATTATGAGGATTTAGGCATGGAAGTTACTGGACTGCAGTCACCAATTTTGGGGAAAAAAAAAAGAGTTTTTTTTTTTCCTTGTCTGTCTCATTTTAAGAAGCATAGAAAAGGACGGTGGACATCTTGTACAGAAATGCTTACACAAGTCAACTCCCTTATCAAGTTATTTGTTTATGTTGTGTTGGCATTAGGTAACCCAGTTAATACCAAGTTATCCTTAGAGGCAGGAGGAGATGCTCGTTATGGAGAGAGGCCTGTGACTAAATCAGAAAAACCTGATTAAATAACCCATTGCTGCTCTCCTTTCCCATCACTTTTTGGCTCCTCCAAGGGACCACTATACACAGTTCTAGGTTAGTGAGATCATGGGAGCTCTGTGGTTTGGTCATACAGGCAGCATCACAAGTTGTCTTTCTCCCTCTCCTGCCTTTCCTGGCCTCCTTGTGACTTCTTCCTAGCAATGCCTTGGTAAAACATTAGTTTTTACAGTGAATTGCTTTATCAAAGTGTTGTCTGACACTGGGTACACGTTGTGGAAATTACAACTTAGAACCATTTGTAGTGTGCCATAAGTTAAATAATCCCATGGGGGGAGCAGCTGGCAAGGTGTGGGTGGAAGGTGGTTGCTGGGAAAGCTGGGCAAATCCCTCCAGAATTGGTGACTGCAAGCTCAGAGCTCAGCTGGGAGCTGGGTGCTTGCCAGATTCGGGCTTTCTCCTGCACACTGTGTGGCCCAGGCTTCAGAGCTGATGGCATTTGGTGGAGGAGGATGGCTGTGGAGCCCATCAGCGCGTCTGGATGGCTGTGTTTTGCTCTTTGTAAGAAACGGTGATAAATGTGGGTGCTGCAAAGCAGGACTTCAGATTCACATGCCTGCTTAATAAATCAAATAAGGTTGGAGAAAGGGCTGAGTTGCTGTTCTGTCTTCTTAACCCAAGCAATTTTTGTGCCAGATGTATGTCCACGGCATCTGAAATTTACTCCTAGTCAGAAGGAATAAGGAAAAAGCTGTAAGCCGGAGCACGGTGCCTGTGGGAGCCGAGGCAAGGTGGACGCTGTGAGCCAGGCACTCGTGCACCGGGGCTGCGCGACTAAATCAAACAGCCAGCAGCGCCGAGGTGTGAGGAGCTGGCTGTGAGGTTCCTGTGGAGGCACTGCAAACCCTTTTGCACAAACATTCCTCTGCTTGAGTATTTGTGTGCCACAAGTGTTGTGAAAAAGAGTACCTGTGCGTGCTCAGTACCTGCCATTTTTGCTGGTAAAGATGTTGCTCCGCATTCTGGCAGATCTGCAATGCAAGTAATTAAAAACAAATAGCAAAACCTAAGCAGATCAAAACTCATCTCTTGGTCACTATGGCAACTGTGAGTTAACTGATGGATTTAATTCTGCATGCTCTGTCTGAATTTCAATGCCCTTGTCTCAGGGATGGTTTACATTTGAAAATGAGGAAAGCACAGAGGCAGTTTAGCTGAGTTTATTTCAAATCTGCCTTTCTCGAGGAAATTGTAGATAGATAGGTACACTAAATATTGGGCTGGGTAATGGTCTGTTAACAGCATGTTTTTAAAAGCTGAAAGCTACTGAGAGCTAAGGGAACTTTATATTCTTTATCCTATGTTTATTTACTTAGTTTCAGAGTTACTTCACTCTTGGTAACAAACCCAAAGTGAAACTGCTAGGAAATGTGGTTTTTCCTTTCCCAAGGCATAGCAGCACTGGAACTTCCTCCACTGTCACCTTGAAGTAAGAGAGAGAATGGCTGTTGGTAAAACAAATACTTTTGTTTCAGTACCAGGTTAATAGGGATGTATTTGTCATGGAGATAAATCTTGATTATTATTTATTTATTTATTGTATTGTTCAGGTGCTGCTAAATCCAGTCCAGCTTCTAAACCAGGATCAACACCTTCTCGTCCATCTTCAGCAAAAAAAGCTGCACCAAGCAGTTCAGCATCCAAATCAGATAAAGATTTGGAAACTCAAGTCATACAGCTTAGTGAACAGGTAAATTTGCTTTCAGCATAAAATTAGATGCATTCATTGTCACAGGCAGGCATGAAATCTAATATTACCCTCTGTTGAATGATGCTCTCCAGATTTATGAAGGGACAAAGATTGAAATAGCTCAGCTGGGAAGGAAAAAAAGTGATTTTTTTGTTAAAAATAACATCCGACAGAGATGACTGGTGTTTACCATTATTTTTAAAAGGTGATCTTAGGAATGACAGGTAAGTCTTGCTGAATTATAGTAATTTTACTAGATGTGGAAATGTATCTTTTATTTCACTTGGATATGAAAAATCCCAGTAATGCTCTCGTGTATTACAAATTTAAAATAAATCATTTTGACGTGGTGTTGTGGAGAAAATCAAGCCTGTTTATAATACTAAGGTGTTAGAGATTTGCCTTTTTCATTTAAAAATGTGATCTTCCTTTGTGAGAATACTTAGTTATATTATAAATAATGTTCTGCAATACCATTAATAAAGCTTCAGAATTTTTTTAATGTTAGGAATGTAAGGGGTAGATTTTCACTTGTGCTATGGAGCTTCGCACCACTCTGCCATTTCTGGACATGCAGGAGTGTCTACACGGGACACGAATAAATGTCTGCATGTGGCTCAAGACTCTACTGCCAGAGTGGTGTAAATGCCACTAGTATAAACGAGGCCTGATCCCTGTATTTGTCCTGGACGAGGGAAAATGGAAAAGAACCTCATATTTTCGAGTCTGAGCTGCCTGGCAACTGCATTCAGGAAGAATTTGTTATTCTGGATCAAGTATAATTTTCCACAATTAAGGGCATTTCTGTTTCAGTCTTTTATTGACTTGAACAACAAAGATTTCAGTTTGTTGGGGCACTGTTTGCAAATTCTTGGTTCCTGTTATGCACTTAAAGGTGGTGGATGGATAACCACATCCCAAACACAGCATACTGCGGATTCAGGGTATAATTCTGAGCAGCAGAGAGCTCAGCAGGTCCACCAGCCTTCCAAACGGGCTTTTTATTGGGGTTTTTTGAAAAGTTTTTAAATGTAGCACAAGGAATGGATGTATATGTTTTTCATGGAATCATTTTAATCAGTTTGAGCGGAGTTCAAATGTCAGCTTAATGCAACTTAAACCATAGTATCTGTACTTAGAAGTCAGAATTTTTTTTTTCAGCAGGAAGAGTTGGTTGGGATCTGAGCAACATCAAAATATTTGATCTTTACTAAAACAGGCAGTCACTATCACATTTCCTGCTAATATATTCCTTGCACATTCCATGTGTGAAAACCTTAAGCTTTATATATAAATAACCCTGAGGGAAAACTGATTATTTCCCCCATCACCAAAGGAGAAGAAATTTTGAGGATTCGGAAAGTTGGTGTCTTAATAGCTAGTTTGTAAGAGACCTTTTCTAGCTAGAATGGTGTGTAAGGCACTTTTTTTTTTAATGCTGGCAGCATTTGGTATTTAATTTCCCCACTAATGGTTACTTGTGCACTCTGGGCATATAACACAAGCCAAAAAAACTATGCTGCAAGCAGCTCTGAGCCAGCTTTTTCTGACCCCAAATCTGAACATGCTTGAAGAGCCAATTTGCCGAGATTTTACCACTCTCCAGCAACCAGTGAGATGAGAGCAGCAGCCACTTTTACCCCTTTGCTGTCTTGATTATGAGTAAGAAATGCTGAATGGTGTCTGTGGATATCACGTTCCGATGTGGCTGTAACAGATTGGGTTCTTCTCAGGGTTTTCATGGCAGCAAAAGGAGATTGAAACATCTGAACTTCCATGCAATTTGTAGTGGAAAAATTTAAGTAGTGGGGCTGTGCAACTCCACAGGGTTGCTTAATGAGCTATTTGCAGTAATCGTAAGCCATCCATAACATTTGCTGTTTTAACAGCTCCCAACAATCTTTAAGTTTCTCTTAAAATGGTCTTAGCTATTGCCTTGGCCTGTGCTAGTAAATTAAACGCTTCCAAGGAGTGTCATTGTGCACTGGAACTTGATTACCCATAGCATTAAAATGCTAAGTGGTCCCTGCTGTGTTTGTGGTCTGTACCAGCTAGTACTCTCACAAAGAGTTTGAGTGCAGTTGAGGAGACAACACAGACCAAGGACCATTACAAGTGGAGAAGGGACCTTTACATATGGTGAATAGTTCCAAGAACCGTTAACTTTATGTTAATATACACACAGTTTCTGAAAACAGCACCGTTTTGGCTGCACATCTGCAGGATGTACTTAATCTCCACCTTGGCTCTGCAGTCCCATGAGTATTCATACCACCAATACGTGCCATCAGAGAAAAGACCAGTTAGTAGGAACTGGTGCTTTTGCACCCATTAACTAGACTGCAGAGAGTTACTTCTGGTCCAAAAACAGCACATGGGAGTCAATGTGCACCATTCCTCATACAGGGTTAACCTTTTGGCATGTAAATAGACGGAAAAAATAGCATGTGGATGTGCTAATTACCTAAAGAAAAATTAATGTGTCACAGACAAATAGTTGATATGTTACCAAAGAAAAGCATATCTGGTTTGGTTATAACTGTACTGTGCACTGTAGTTAATTAACCGTGTGCATATATGCACAGTTTAATGATTAATTTTTCTTAAAATGGAGTGAGTGTATAGAATGAAAACAGGACAATGCCTTCATCGTAAATAGGTCAGAAGGGGAGACAGTCTGAGCTATCAGCAGCCCGTGTTTCAGCTGAAGTTAATTGTTTTCCCAAGCTCTAGCAAGCACCGAGCAAGAGATCTAGAAGCAGTTACAGTCTCCTGTCTGGATGCAGGCACTGCTCTCAAGGAATACGCTGCTGCAGATCCAGAAGACACATCTTAAATGTGAGGTCTTAATCTATAGACCACAATATTGTAAACTCTTGTTCCATTTTGCTATTCCTACTTTCATGAGTGAATAGTTAATTTTAAGGTGACTGGTCATTGTAGCAATCGTAGATTCAAACTGTCAAAGGAAGACTTGGGTGTCACGCTCGGGCAGCTGGTCAGAAATGGGTTAGTACGTGAATGAGATGCTCCGAGATCCTGCCCTGGTAACAAGTCAGTTCTGCTGTCTGACACCTCTGAGAGTGCAATCAAAGGTCAGAAAAAGGCATCGCTAGCTCAGCAGTTACGGAAAAATGAACTGATAGGATTTAGTAGGCTGTCAAAGCATTGTTTGAACTCTGCTGGTATTTTCACTAGTGAAGGAAATAAATTAGCTTGCAGTAGAACTGGCAACACAGAACTATGTATTAAATTATATCAGCTCATTGAAATGTAGTCTGATGTGATTTAATTCATTTAGCATGTTTTATTTAGAAAATCATTTATATAATTGCAAGCCTTAAAATGTGGATGCTAATTTGGCTGTAATTTGGATGTGATTTGGGTCAGTGTGTTTACTGTAGGCAGCTTCATCTGTGATTATTTCTGTTGATTGTTACACTGCTGTCTTCTGACTTTGTAAGCCAGTTACATGTTATCCTGACTGTGTATGTCCCGTTGGACAACAGTTTATCTGCTATGCTACCACAAAATTGTTCTTTTTAAAATACATACTATGTGTGTGTGTGTGTGTATATATATATATACACACACGTATGTATAAAAATATATTGCAACATCTGTCATGATTTATACGAAGCCTAATCATTAACAGCTATGTTGCCCATAAGTGATTTGCAGCAGTCCTGGTGGTGAAATTGAGGCTGACAGTGTAGCTTGAAGACTCTTGTGAACCAGGTTGCAAAGAGAAAGATACTTGGCATTTGAGAGAATTTGTTGATAGAAACAGCACATTAGTCAGAGCAGAAAGTCCAGGGTGCAGCCGGTCACGGCATCAGAGTGCTGAAACACAGGTCTCTAACAGTATGGTAAATGGGGAGGCAGAAAAGGAGAGGTAAAAAAAAATAACACAGCAGTACTCATCTTTGCAACTAGAGGACTTTTTAATTTCCTAACTAGACCATTTCCCTTTGTGAGCTTTTCTGCTAGGTCTACATATTTTTAGGCAAGGAGATATTGTAGGTTTCCCAACTACCTATTAATCCAGGTAAAATAATGCAAGTCCTGAGCTGAAAGTTTCATGCATTACAGTTAAATGAGACTTCTGGCAGCATTGTTAGGAGACAAGTATAAAGTAGGCCTAATTCCTGAACTGCTGCTTTGGGTTTCAGTATAAAGAACACTGAGAAAATTGAGCTTTAAGGATCAAGGTTAAGATGTATCCAAGAGGCATAATGGGAGAGCCTGATTTTCTGTTCTCTGTTGTGTAAGGTACAATCTAGCACTTTAGGAAAAAAATAAGTGGGCTGCATTTTAAGCTATAAAATTGAATATATATTTAAGATTGTTTACCATGCATAATTCTAGACTGAGTTGTTTCATCTGTAGTGCACCTCACAACTGATGTATTGTGTCTTGGTTTACACACAGGTACATTCATTAAAACTTGCACTTGAAGGCGTGGAGAAGGAAAGGGATTTCTACTTTGGCAAATTAAGGGAGATTGAACTTCTCTGCCAAGAACATGGGGGAGAGAATAATGACCTTGTCAATCGGCTAATGGAAGTCCTTTATGCTTCAGAAGAACACGTAAGTTCAATCTTAATGTCTTTTATTTAGACAAAACAGCTTAATTTCATAAAAATTTATTGGCACAGTATTGGGTTGTGTCCTATATTTAGGTCAGCAGAACTGCAGCAGCTAGGATTTCCATGCCTCCTCCTCCCCCAAAAAGGAAGCTTGCATTTGCAAACAACAGACTTTTCAGCTTGGGGAAAGGATTCAGGAGGCTGGTTGTTTTTCGCTGTTTTGGTGTAGGTTTTGTATTCTAGATTTACTGAAGCTGATCTGAAAAGGGAGTCACAATTTTAAATTGATTTAATATGGTTCTGAGCCTTAGTTTTGGGGTTTTTTTGTCTTCCGCCTTTCTGCACAAAGTCTTTTACTCATCTTCTTTAACGTGTTGAAAATCATAGAAAATCTGACAGGGGTGCTGTTCAGTGTCTACAGCTGTGAACCTTCTCTAGCACATGCTACAGTGTTGTAATATGTACGGTGCAGGTTGCCAAATACATAATTATTTCTGCAGAGATAATGCTCTTTAACATTTTTTTATCCTGTTGCTATAGGCAAAATTCTTCCTTGTGCAAACCCAATAATCCTCTGTTACCAAAATTTCAGAAATGTATTGTCTGCAAGATTAAGCAAGAATGTTGTTGCATCTTAAGACTTAGCGCTGTAGACACTGAACAAAGCAAGAAGCTGCAAAGGGTGCTGGTTAAATTCCTCAGATACATTCAGGGATAATGATTCAGCGGAGATTTAGCTGAACTACTCCCATTCACATTAACTGAATCCCTGTGCTGACGGTTGACCCTTCAGTCTCCAGCGGATGGTGGCTTTGGCTCCGGGGCGTATAAGCATCAATTGAATCTCTTGGTAGTGCTGTGGTACTGTAGGGTTTCTTATAGCTGTTCTCAGAAAGCTGTCGCAGCAGTAGTCAGCTGACTTAAAATTTTATATAAAAAGTAGTGCCAAAGCAACTACTTAACTCACATGCTTTTCTAAAAAGACTAATAGAGCATAAATGAAACTTAGGCACAAGAGGGACATGAACCGACAGGGGCCACTGCTCAGGTGAGAAGTGACAGGGGAAAGAGGATTTGTTCACCAGTACGGGGCGAGTGCTAGAGAGGAAAAGGACGAGGAAACCATTACTTTCACAAGAATAAAAAAAATAAGACAAATTTGCTAGGCACGTGATAACAGGCTAAAAGTATTATATATGTATAGCGGTCAGAGAAAATGTCTTCTGGATTCAAGAACAGTGATTTATTTATAAAGCAAAGCCAGAAAAATCCCTCTTCTCCCCATACCCCTACCACATCTGTCTGGCTGACTGGCTTAAATAGCAAGTGATTCCCCGCCAAGGAATGCATTTGTTGCTTTTCTTCCTGCAGTTTTCCTTACTGGCAGAACACGTTACAAAATGTTCTACTTCAGCCCACATCCGTGTTTTATCTGCTTCCTCCCTCCAAGCCTTTCTCTGTTGAAAGCATCATCCATGCCTGTGCATGAACTACATATGACAACCGTGCCTTCATCTAAAATGTGTTTGCAGTCGGAGG